TCCGTAAGTGAAGCATACTACCAGTCAACACTATCTGAATTGGAACGCAAGTCATTAAAAGAGTTTGAACTTGACATCATGGGTGCTGGAGACAACTTGATTCCATACACAGGTTATATTGAGGCTCCTATCTACATTCCTATTTATGATGTTGAATATCTGATACCAGTGTTGATCACCAAGGACACAGAGTACAACCAAAGAGTTCCACTTTGCATTGGAGTGAATGTCATCAAGCCGCCTAAAGTCTGATTTGCAAGATACTTCAAGGACGTGCCAAAGGAGTGGACAACAGCTCTGAATTCCATCTGTCACAAGGAGTATTGGGTACAGTCAAGTCAACTAGGAATAAGCCTATAGCCATTCAACCTAATCAGATGATCACCATCACCGGGTCTTGTATCGCCATATACCTGGAAGTTACACTGCTGTCACAGAACATCTTGAAGCTGATTCGGATTTACAGACAGGTCTTTCCATATGTCCACGAAAGTGGTAGAGGTTGGTAAACATGGTAACACATCAAGGATTCCAGTTAGATGCTGCAACCTATCCGCCCGAAAGTTATTACCATTCCCCGAAGGCTAAACTCTGTCAGCTACAGCAGGTTCGTGTTGTTACCCAAGTACCTATTGATGTACCTGTAGACAAACCTACTCAATCACCACAGGACACTTCTTCCAGTGGCAGTTGTAAGTTTGATTTGTCGGATAGTCCACTTGATGATACACAGAAGCAGCAAGTTTCAGAGATGCTACAGCTGGGACTCTATTATGTCTTCAAGTATCACAGACTTAGGATGTTGTACCACTGTGAAGCACTCAATCAAGCTGACTGATGACATCCCTTTCAAACAGCCACATAGACGAATCCCTCCTGGATTATTTGAAGAAGTTCGGGAACATCTACATGAAATGCTTGCTTGTGGAGCTATCAGAGAGTCCCACAGCCCTTACTCTTCTAACGTGGTACTGGTAAGGAAGCATGACAACACTTTACGCTTTTGCATTGACCTGAGAGCTATTAATGGACGGACAATTCGGGATTCGTATGCCATTCCAAGGATTGATGAGACTCTGGATTGTTTGTCTGGTGCTAGACTGTTCAGTAAGCTTGATCTTCGAGCGGGATACTGGCAAGTAGAGCTCGAAGAAGAGGACAAGGAGAAAACTGCATTTTCTGTCGGACCATTAGGTTTTTATGAATGTAACAGGATGCCGTTTGGTCTCACCAATGCGCCAGCAACATTTCAGAGACTGATGGAAAAGTGCATGGGAGATCTGAATCTAAAAGAATGTCTTATATATCTGGATGACATAATCATATTCTCTGATACTGTTGAAGAACACATGAAGAGGTTGGAAGCAGTGTTTCAACGCTTGAAAGATCATGGACTCAAGCTGAAACCATCTAAGTGTGAACTGTTCAGAGAAAGGATCAAGTATCTAGGACACATTGTATCAGTAAATGGTATAGAGACAGACCCAGAAAAGACAACTGCACTCAAAACCTGGCCTGTTCCAAAGAATACCGATGACGTAAGAAGATTTCTTGGATTTACCGGGTACTTTCGCCGCTTTGTCAAAGACTTTTCCAAGATAGCTAAACCCATGAATGATCTTCTCGTTGGACAGCCAAAGAAGAAACGGAGACGGACTACATGTAAGGACGAGTGGACATGGTTAGAGGAGCACCAACATGCCTTTGAAACTTTGATATCACACTTGACAGAACCACCGATTCTAGCCTACGCCGATTACACTCAACCATTTGAGGTACATACGGATGCAAGTGCAGATGGATTGGGGGCCGACTTTATCAGAAACAACAAGGGAAATTAAGAGTTATTGCCTATGCTAGTCGAGCTCTTAGGAAAGGTGAGAAGAACTACCCCGCACATAAACTGGAGTTCTTAGCTCTCAAGTGGGCTGTCACTGATAAATTCCACGAATATCTCTATGGGAATCAATTTGAAGTCAAAACAGACAACAACCCTTTAACGACGCCCTCACAACTGCTAAACTTGATGCTACAGGTCATCGGTGGCTGGCGGCTTTATCAGCGTGATGACTTCAGGATTACGATCGTCAGGAACAAGAAACCAAGATGCTGATGGTTTGTCTCGACGGTATGACTATCAGGAAGCATCCAGGAACGTTGATATCCCGAGCATCAAGGCCATTTGTCATGTGCACACCACAACCTGCAACAAAGCAGAGAGTCTATCTTTGATGAGAATGCAGTTTTACCCAAAGAACCATCAATAACTTTGTCAGCTAACATCAACAGTTGGAAGAAGGAACAATCCAAAGACCAAACCATCTCCAGAGTTGTACAACTATTCATGGAAGGTCACAAGCTTACTTCAAGGTTGAGATCACTTGAGACTCCTTCAGTTGGAAAGCTTCTTCTGGAATGGGACAAGTTGACTATGAATGATGGAGTTCTCTATCGACGTGTGAAGGTCAAGGATGAAGTTCTTAGTCAGGTCATTCTTCCGAGACATCAAAGGGAAACGGTTCTCAAGGCAATTCATGACAACTCAGGACATCAAGGCAGAGATCGTGACTTTGACTTAATCCGCAACAGGTTTTACTGGCCTGGAATGAACGAGGATGTGGAGAGTTACATCAGAAAATGTGGAAACTGTATCAGAAGGAAATCACCAACTTCACAACGATCTGCTGAACTAGTGAACATTCAAACAACGTGCCCAATGGAACTTGTTTGCATGGACTACTTGCAATTGGAGGAATCGAAAAGGAGGTTTTGGAAATATTTTGATCATCACTGATCATTTTACACGCTACGCCATTGCCATTCCTACTAAGAACCAATCCGCCAAGACAACAGCAAGAGTTCTCTTCGATAATTTCCTGGTTCATTACGGATTTCCTGCCAAACTACACAGCTTATCAAGGTAGAAACTTCAGAGAGGCAACATTATCAAGGAGCTTTGCCATATCACTGGAATACAGAAAACTCGAACAACACCATATCATCCCCAAGGTAATGGAATGTGTGAGCGATTCAATCAGACACTTCTCAACATGCTTGGAACTCTCGAGGATGACAGGAAAGCTGATTGGAAGAGTTATGTATCTCCGCTTAGTACATGCCTACAATGCCACGTAAACATGATGATAGTACAGGATTTTCACCTTTCTACCTGATGTTTGGTCGACATCCACGACTGCCAGTTGATGCATTCCTGGGAATAGACAACACTCATGGTGATCACACAAAAGCGGAGTATGTTAATAATCTGAGGAAACGATTGAACTTTTGCTTACGAAAAGCGCCAAGGGAAGCCCGTAAGGCAGGCCGACGACACAAGCAGAGATACGACACAAAGGTGCTACTCAACTCTTCAACGTGGTGACCGAAGTTCTCATTCGGGTTAGTAGGACTCACTGGAAAACACAAGCTTGCAAACAAGTGGGGACGGGAAGTATTCACTGTAGTTAATCAACCTAATGAAGAGATCCCAGTTTTCACTGTGCAGCAGGAAGATGGCAAAGGTTCTAAGAAGACTTTGCACCGAATATGCTTCTTCCTATTGTGTCAGTTCCAGTTAAACCATTAGCCACAGACAAACAAAAGAACAGGAACGAGAAAGTCAATGTCCTTGAAAATATGGAATTCCAAGAACTGAACGATTCGGATGAAGGAAGTGTTTGCGAGATGATGGTGATGCTACCAGCCACTCCTATACCGGAGGCATCGACAGTACATGCTACCGATGCATTTGAAGCAAGACGTAACAGGAACTGGAGATTCTACGTTGGAAACAGTTGGAACTGTACATGGATTTCAAGATTCATCTCCAGCTTTCACAGAATCACCTGGAACATCACGCAGTTTAGCAATCCCATCAACCCCTGTGGAACAGTCATCTGCTTCAGCTGAACAAGGGCTCAACACATCTTCCGCTTCTGATACCGTTGTTGAAGACACAGTTGATCCTGAGCTGTTGCCGAACTCTGATATGGGGAGGCCTACCCGTACCAGAGTTCCACCAGCTTGGTTAAGGAGTGGTGATTGGGTCACTAATTTTGGTATTCAGGCTTTTCCATCTTCCCCAGGTCGTCCTGTTGCTTTGTCAGCTGAAGAGGTTAGGTTGGTTGATACTTTCCAGCGGTGGCTGGTACCTTGGATTTTGAAGTGTTTGTATGAGTTGTCATTTTGTAGCTCGGTGTAATTAGTTGTATAAGTTTGTGTTTTGTTCAGTTTTAATGTGTTGCTGCATTTAAATGTTGAGGACAACATTTCTCAAAGGAGGGAGGATGTCGCCGGATGTATTTCCCCATACATTTGCGTATCTCTTACGTTATTCCTCTCTGCTCATTTATTTGGCTTCTTCTATCACTCTTACTCTGGTTGTAATACCAGTAGTATCTCGTGCATTACCTGTTCCGCGTGACATCTCATGCATTACCTGTTCCGTGGCGTAGGCATCTTCATATTTGCCACTTCATGTCACGCCACGTCGAGGTGAGTTGATACACCCCTCGGCCATACATCATATTATATTGATGTTCATGTGTATTTTACAGGTATGTACCTTTTCTGTCTACTTTCTTTGTCATCCTCTAAACGTATTATCGTAAAGGTGCGCAGCGATATCATAGTATTTATAATATCTATAATATTTCTATAATAAGGCATCGCGTTGCTAAATTACTAATTAAACACTGGCACCAGCACGTAAGTAAGTGTGAGTGATGTCTGCTTCCTTTAATTTTGCTCATAATATTCAAAGTGCAATATTTCATAAAATGCTATAAAGACCATTTTATAAATGGTAAAATTCGTGCGATCTTGATATTGGCACTTCATGTCACGCCAAGGCCGAGGTGAGTTGATACACCCCTCGGCCATACATCATATTATATTGATGTTCATGTGTATTTTACAGAATAAACAGATTTTAATCAACCACGCCTCAGTCCGATTAATCAGCGGCCAGGACCCGCGACATATTGACATACTTTACTTACTTTAATGCAGTGGTTCAAATCAATATTTGATGTAGATATCCGGGAAGAGTAGTTTTCCATCCAGGTAATGATCTGTTTCATCTTTTCATCAAGCAAACAATTCACCAGATTGTGGACTTCTTCCACTCTACCCTCAGGATTGTTACTGTTTTCATTGTGACATTGACACACACTGATACTTGATGTGAATACATCAACAGCAGCAAGCAGTAATCGGGTTGACTGATAGGTATCAGCCAAACAAACATCAAGAAGATCTGCTGCTATTTTCACACACATATATCTGTGCTCTGTGCAATCCAGCTCTGTTTCCCTGTAATCAAACAGACCTCAAGATGAACAAAAATATAAAATGTACAGAAAAGGAATCTACTAATGTATTTGATGGAAATTTCAAACTGTAGTTGCATATAAAATGTGTGTTGTGGCATATCCTACACTTAGAACTGTATATCACTCTGTATTAAGTTATACAGTCATCAAACAATAGTTATTATCCATAATGACTCTAAGAATACTTACTCTACAACATCATTGCCACAAATCCTGTATTTCACCACAATTCTAAATCTTTGTCACAATGTAATGTTGAACTTCAACAACTTTGGCAGGAATGATAAATAGGATTCACCATTTGCGTTTTATTAAGGGAAACACTCATGATGAATCCTCTATAACAGAATTTCCTGTAATACCAATTTATATCTTTTAAGTTTAAAATCATCCACAGCAATTTAAGTATTAGTTTTTAACACAATTTCTTATCCATTTCAATGTTAAGAGCCTTTATGTTGATGAAATCTCCATGAATTTTATGAAGTATGTTTGGTATGTTTAACTATACTGGTTATTTCATCAAGTAAAGAAAGAAGTTAAGTTACATCAAAATTTCTTTGTTTGCTTGGTAACAATAAAATGATTTGAGTTGGGTAATAACACAGATGGGGATGAAAATATTATCATTAACTCATAGTGACCTTTATGTAGTGGTGTCTGAAATTATAGCACAAGTTTGCAATGTTGTATGTACCTGTGATTCTTCATGCCTCTCCTTCCTGAGACTTCTTTGAATTGTTTTGCCACACTCAAAAAGCACTCTCTCAGATACTAAAAATTAGAAGAAAAACACACATTTCCTTTCAAAAACCATATTAAAGAAATCTTGCTTAAACTGTATAAATTGTTTTCAACTGGTTTTCTCTAAAAAATTCAATGGATATGTTTCAGATGACCCAATATCCACCCTCAAACATGCAAACAATGTGGTACAAAGGGCTGAGCTCTCTAGATTCCCGCTTAAATGGACTTGAACCAGGAGGGTGGAACTTGGATGAAATTGAGCTGCACTGAAAACACCTGTGCTGCTGAATGTGAGGCAACAAGTCATACCTGGGATTTTATCAACCAACCCAGCTGATCTGTTTCTACTCTCTCTGAAGTACTGTAAAGATTCAGGTTGAGGAAAAAAGCAGCAGTTGCTTATGAATTTCCGTGAAGTGCCACAATGATTGAGTGTCAGTTTGTTCTATTGATCACCTAATATTTACAGCCTAAATACAGTATCTAAGAAATTGTCAAAAGGTGAAAATTCACAATTTGATCATAAACAATGCAGACTAGCATGCCATGGGAAATGCATGAATGCTAAACCTATGAATATTGATGCAACAAGGAATGTAGAACTCCAGATGTGTCAAAAACATTGCTAGGTAGCAGGACCTATAGGAGCCCAATAGCAGTGCCAAAATTGCCCCACAGTAACATAAATGTGGTGCGATGGTTTCAGAAAAACCCTGCAATCATGTAAAACACTTTCCCAAAAATGCATGAAAGTATCTGAAAATAGGGGCAATAGTTTTGCTTTAACACCTTGAAACTTGCTGACTCCATAAAAAACAGGAGGAATTAAATATTTGGCTTACATTTATTAGTTTTTATCTAAGATTCATCTAAATTATTTGTGGTAAATCTATAAAATATAATTACCTGCTTTGTCTCACGAGGTAAAGAGGATCCTGAGCTTTCACAGTAGAAATAAAGAGTTGCTGTGCATATCTCAGGTGGAATTACTTGTAGATCTACAACCTTTCTCAGATTCAGAAGAGATACACAAGCCATGAGTGTCCGTGGGAGGAGGAAGTCTGCTTCAAAGTAAGGAGATAAACCACGGAATACCTCTTCTTCAGATCTGGAAAAGAAGAAGTTGGTTTGATTATATATTCACAACATCAACAAATATGAGGTTTTGATAATTTCTGTGAGGTATAGAAGCTAGCCACTAAAACACTTTGCAATCAAAAGACACACGGCAGAGAAATTGACTCATGAAATTTGTAAACTTCAAAAGTACTATGCTGTTGCTTATTCTAAGATATGTGCATGAGAGGAACATTGTGATTTCAATGTCTATCATTAGTAAGCACTGGTTATGTTTTTCAGCATGTTTTAAGCAATATAGCAATATTCCAGCAACATCATGGCAGGGGACACCAGAAATGGGCTTCACACAATGTACCCATGTGGGATTCAAACCTGGGTCTTTGGCATGACGAGCCAATGCTTTAACCACTAGGCTACCCCACCGCCCCTCCTAACTCTGAAGATATGTCAAGAATATGTAATTTTCTGAATAAAATTGATATTTTATACTTATCCTGACTCATGCTATTTTGCTTGTCTTCTTCTTCTTGCGAACACAGTGGAACACTTGTATCTCCCAATTGAAGCTCCCTTCAATGTAAAATCACTAATTAGTACTCACCAAGAGTTATCTCTTTCCCAATCATTTGCGCGGGAACAAGGGCGCCACTTCCCGCCACATGCCTCACTCTCTCCTTATATAGTGAGCCCAACACTTGAATTTTCAGGGAAATCCAAAGTGTTATGTGGGGAGGATGGGAGGGCTTACCTCATGAGTCAGGATAAGTATAAAATATCAATTTTATTCAGAAAATTACATATTTTTCCTTATCCTGACTCATGCTATTTTGCTTGTAGAATCCTACGGATACGGAGGTGGGAATACAGAATACTTTGGATTTAGATAATTAGTGATTTGATAACTGTAATTATTGTAATAACCCCTATGGGAACTTCATACAGGCACTGAATTGATAAATTACTGCTGTTAAACTTATCAGATGCCATATATGGGTTACTACAATATATAGATATTATGATAAACATAAATAAAGTATTTACAACATGAATAAGACTAAGACTAAGAAAGACTTAAGCTTGATAATATAATAGCATAAACTTCATAGAGTTGTTAGCTAATGATATTATTATGATATAATAAACATAGTACTGAGCTTAAGATTGTGATTGAACTTAAGCTAAAATATATAATAGCATAAACTTCATGGAGTTATTAGCTATATACATCCTGGCTGCTGTTGCTAGGGATACTGTTGTGAAATAAGCAGTAAAAATCTCGTAAGATTGACTTATCTTCTTCGAGGGACTGTCAACTGCTGTGCGAGGACCATGGGACCAAAATGGTGAATACCTGAGACGTCCTCGGTGGTGATATCTCTCAGATAGTGGTTGGCAAACACCATATCGGATCTCCAGAAGCAGCCCTCCATGATGGTATTCAAAGAGCAATTGCCGTGTAGAGCAAGTGTTGAAGCTAGAGCTCTAATTTCATGTGGATTAGATGCTCTTGGAGGGTCGAGTCCTGCAGCCTTGTAGGCGCGTAGTATGACAGTTCTGATCCATATCGAGATACTTATGCGTGAGACTTCATTCTGTGTAGCTGTCGAAGAGGGATGAATAATCGTTTGAGTTTTTGTCAGCCTCAGTTTGGATCGCCCGTAGATATATTTTCAGTGCTCTGACTGGGCATAATGATAGATCCAGTGTATCATGAGGTCCGAGAATTGATGAGAGAGCTGGAACGTGGAATAATCTGTCTGGTTGACCTGGCAACTGGTTCTTGGCGATGAAATCCCAGCGTAGTCCCATATGCACGATGTTATGATTGTCATCAAAGCGTGTTCTCTCGTAATCTAGTGCGTGAATCTCTGACATCCTGGCTGCTGTTGCTAGGGATAACAGGAACAAAGTTTTCTGTGTCAGAAATTCGAATGATGTTGATTCCAGTGGTTCATATGCCTCACTTGTGAGGTGTTGTAGCACTATATTTAGATCCCATGCTGGAGCGCGAAACCTTCGTTTCTGATCCTCCAATCGGAATGCACGTAGTAAGGTGAGTAACTCTGGGGTCTTCGTCAACTTGACACCCGTTCTCATAGTTATGACGGAGCTTAAAGCTGCGAGATATGTTGATAATGTTGAGCCTTTTAGACGTTTAGTCTGTCGTAGGTAACATAAGTGGTCAGCCACTTGTGGATGTGTAGCATTTCTAGCTGTAAATCCTTTCTTTGCAGCATAATTTTCAAAACTGTGCCACTTGTCATCATTATGATAAGTTGCGAGTGGAGTTGCATAATGCAAGCGTGACTGCATTCGCTGCTCTGGCTGAATAACCTCTCTTGTTTAGACACGCCTTAATACAGTCCATAAGTGAAGTTGGAATGCTTCTGGCTTTCCGTGCGCTTGTTTGGTGTGAGGATGTATTAGTAGATTCTAGCGCTTTGGAAGTTGTAGTATTGGTTGTCCGATTTCTTGAATAAGAGTTGGAAACCACGTTCTCGCTGGCCAGTAGGATTGACCAAAATCATTTGGAGGCTCGAGTTTGCTTGATTTTCTGTAACACCTGTGGGATTAGCGCTGGTGGTATGGGCAGCGTCGCAGCGTTGAGTCCTTCCCACGATATGCTTAGTGTGTCCATTGTCCATGCTAGTGGGTCTGGGACTGGTGATCTGAATGTTGTCAGCTGATTGTTGAAGCGAAAGTGGCAAATAGGTCTATTAGTGGAGCTCCTATTTTCTTGATAATTTGTGTGCGAATATCTCTGTATGGAGCATCCATTCTGTCGGCGATGGTAGGTGTGGCGAGAGAGAGCCGTCTGCTATTACATTCTTTGCTCCTGGAACGTGACATGCTCTGACATGTATGTTGAGATTGTCGACTAGATCGAACAAATGAAAACATAGAGTCAATAGGTTCGGGGACCTGGTTGAGCCTTGTTTGTTCACATAAAACGCCACTGTTGAATTGTCTGTGTGAATCATCAATTTGGCATTCTTTAGTAAGTTACACCAATGATGTATGGCGTTTACTACTGCTTGCATTTCTAGCAAGTTTATGTGTAGTTTGCTCTCTTGTTGGCTCCATAACCCTGATGCCGTCCTGTTGGCGAGGTGTGCTCCCCAACCTTGGAGCGACGCGTCTACATAGAGATGTGTTTTCAATTACGGCTCTATTAAACAGATTCCATCCCAAACATTCGATCTCTTGGTCCACCATAGTAGGTAAGGTTTGACGTGATTCGGTAGACTGAATGGTTGAGGGTCGTCAAGATGAGAGTTGATGAGGACCTGTAACGGACGTAACTGTAGTCTGCCTCTGACTGTCATGTCTTGAGCTGACGTGAGTAGACCCGACAGGCTCTGCCATTGTCGTAGTGGTAGCGGAGAGGGTAAGGCTTGAGGGATTGTCTGTTGGATCTTGATCCATCGGTCCTCCGGTACGACGATACGATTCTGCGCCGTGAGAAATCGAATGCCTAGAAATTGCAGATCTTGCGTAGGTTCTAGGTCCGACTTGAGTAGATTTACTAACCATCCTAGCTGTGTTAGTAGCTTGATGATGAAGTTTAACTGTAGTTTGAGACGCTGTGGATCTGGATCCACTTGTATCCCGTCGTCGAGGTAGAATGCACTGCGTAGTCCTTGACGATGTAGGTAAGATACGATAGGTTTTGTCATTCTTGTGAATAACCAGGGGGCCGATGAGATTCCGGAAGGTAGTACTTTCCATTGGTAATGCAGCCCGTCTAGTGTAAACCGAAGGTATTTCCTGGAGTCGGGATGTATTGGGATGTGTAGATATGCGTCTTGCAGATCTATGCTGGCCATGTAGACTCTGGGACGAATTAAGTGCCGTAGTTGTGGTAGGTGTATCATGCGAAACGCTGGCGGTTTGCGTAGATAGTCTCTGTTGAACGTGCTCATATTGTAGATGAGACAAAACTTTTCCTTGGAATTTTTCTTGGGCACTAGGAAAACTGGGGAGTAGAAGCCTGGTTCGATGTTTACTTGGTCCAGTACTTCTATGGCCTGCTTGGTTAGGAGCGTTGATACCGCTTCTCTTAACTTTGGTAGTTGTAAAGCCTGGAAGTCGAGCCTCGGAGGGATGACTGTCAGCGGGGGCGTGGCCTGTAGTTGTATTCGATATCCGTGCTGTAGAATGTTGGAGACATATGGATCCTCTAGGATTCCCCAGTTTTCCCAGTGCAGTTGAAGGCGTCCACCCACTTGTGATGGTTGTGGGGGTGGAAGACTCCATTCGTTCCGAACCTGTCCTTCATCGTTTATAGTTGCGGGAGCCTCTGGATGACCTGCCTCTACCAGATCCTCCCCTGTAATTGCCGTAAGGGCAGCGAAAAGACTCTTTTGCTCCTCTTACACTTGCCATCTTCCTGTCCCATGCCTTCTGTAGACCGGAGAACTTCGATTTGCCTGAGTACCTCTGCGAAGTTTGTCTGATGACGCTTGCTAGTGTATCCATAGACTTTGAGTACCTCTCTTGAGTCTTTAGAGACTTCTTTAGAGACTTTGTCTATGTTACCATCGAAGATGGACGGTGAAGACCACGGGGCTGTGTAGAGTGATGCGGTGAAGTGATCACCCCAGTTACAGGAGGCAAGGAGACCTTGACGACGAGCCATAGTTGTAGCTGCGGATAGTGCTGTCAAGTGATCCGTAAGGAACTGCTGGTCCTTCTTCTGCATGAGGAGGGCCGAGTAAATCATCCTGTCATCCTCAGATGTAGAGTCTCTGAACTTCGTGAGGAGAGTTTAGTTGACTGTTTTTGATCTGTTCAGACCAAAAAACATCCTCCTTGACATGGTTTCCATCTGGACTAGCTTGCGGTCATCTATTCTGTAAGTCTTGGACTTGGCATCGCTGATCATCTTATAGTTATAATCGATATCTTGTGCCTTGTAAAAAGGGTCCAGGTCGATGCAGGTCGCTTCTTGGAGATAGCGGACTGCGTCCCACGCCTCTCCTCCGAGGGTAACTCTAGCGGAACACCAGACCGGAGGGGGTCGTCCGACAACAGTTGACAGGGTAAGGGCTCTGGTGTATTAGCCATGGCTAAAATCTGTTTACGTGACCTATCTGCTGCGCGTCTCAAGATGCAAAATAAATATTTATCAAAGGCAGAATTGGATAAATTAATACAATAATTGTAACGTGAAACAGTAGAGCATGGCGTAGTACAACTAGGGCATATTAAATGCGGGTCAGCAGCAGAAAAACGTAATTTACAAATAGTGCAGATTTTCATCAACGCAATCTACTGAACAAACACGGAGTCCCGTGAATAAAACAGTAGAAACACGAATAAATATCAATGCATTATGTTGAAGGATACTAGCTACACCTCTATAGAAGTCTGAGAGGTAAATAACTAAGAATAAACAAAGGATATAATGTGTAGGGAGACACAGGCGCTCTCACATCCTGCTCACTGGGCGAAGAAGGAGAGAGTGAGGCATGTGGTGGGAAGTGGCGCCCTCGTTCCCATGGAAATGATTGGGAAAGAGATAACTCTTGGTGAGTCCTAATTAGTGATTTTACATTGAAGGGAGCTTCAATTGGGAGATACAAGTGTCCCACTGTGTTCGCAAGAAGAAGAAGACAAGCAAAATAGCATGCGTCAGGATAAGGAAAAGTATAGTAGATTTGAATGTATAGATGCACATATCCACTGTCAGTATCAGCGTGTATTAAGGCTGGGACAGTTCCAAATTTTCTACCTGGGTACACGTCTCTCTTCACAAACACGCACGCACACACACGCACGCAGCACACACACACACACACACACACACACACACATGTATTATAACATATTCCATTTCACGGTTATAACGGGTCTGGGTATTGAGATGTGTGAGATTTTGAAAAGTGTCATGTGTGACCTTCAAAATAATGTCAAGGTCATCCTGAAATTACTCGTGTCTGTGTAATCACACAATGTAGGCTGTCGACATAATTGAAGACATTGGGTGCAACTTTTTATGAGATATCTTGCTTACATAAGTTTGAAAAGTGGTCATAAGGTCGAGGTCACCCAAACTGACTGGTTTTTTTTGCATAACCCCCAATGTAGGCTGTCACCAAATTTGAAAATATTGGATACAACAGTCCATGAGAGATTGAAAAGTGGTCAAAGTGTTGTGGTGTCCTTGAAAATAAGGTCAAGGTCACACAAATCCACTGGTGTCTGCATAATCTCTCAATATAGGTTGTCACCAGATTCGTAGACAATGGGTACAACTGTTCATGAGATATCGAATCAACAAGAATCAGGACGTACAGACAGAAGTTGCTAACTACATAGGTCCCCATTCCGTTTTGTGGGGGGGGATAATTAGATAGTAATTCCCCCACATGGGCACAATGTGTTAAGCCCATTTCTGGTGTCCCCCGCAGTGATATTGCTGGAATATTGCTAAAAGCGGCGTAAAACTAAACTCAGTCAGTCAGTCAGTGAGTAATTCTGGAGACTTGCAGCATAGATGATGAGAACAGTGGAGACACAATGAAGAGCATTTTCTGGATCTTGCAAAGCCTTGAGGGTGTCTTCTCATGAAGTCACCAGTAGGGGGAACACTATTCGCACTAAGTCACTGGCGATTTTGCTTTGAAGTTTCTAATCCAATCAGGATTAACGGATTAGTCAGTTGGTCACTCGAGCGAGAGACGCTAATGAGCTGTAAATTACATGACATTTATTAGTGAACTCTGTTCAACAATTTTATGACAAATATACATAGATGGTCCGGACCACTTTCGTCACTAAGTCCTACCATGGCAAATGCAAAAGTTCATCCCAACTTCGAGAGGCGGCAGATATCTTTGTTCGGATGGTTTCATGTACAGAGTCAACAAAAAGAAACGTGATGAAACCTTAGTATGGAAGTGTACGACCAAGGATTGCCATATGACCTTGACCACCATCAGTGATATCCTCACCAGACCCTCCCAGAACCACAACCACCCACCAGTGGAGACCGACATCAAGGTGAGAGAGACCATGGAGACACTAAAAGAAAAGCCAAGGCCACGATCAGAACTCTGCCGCAGCTGTTCCAGGAAGAAGTAGAGAGTATGCGGGGTGGTGACTGGACACCGGAACACGCCACCCTTGTTGGCAACTTACCTACGTTTCATATGAAGAAAGACACCCTGTATAGAGCAAGGAAAAAGTCATTTCCTCCTCTACCTTCCCATCGTCGTGACCTAGTAATCCCTGAGCAGTACCAAACAACAGAAGGCGGGGAACAGTTCCTGGCATTTGAAGATGGGGATGAGGACAAGATCCTGGGATTCGCCACCACATCCAACTTGGAGAAGTTGTGTCAAGCCGACACCTTCTTTGCAGATGGTACGTTTATGTGACACCTCACATATTTCACCAGCTGCACACCATCCATGCTGTTACAGACGTCGGTCAGATGTTACCCTTGGTCTACCTGCTGCTACCAGACAAGAGTTCCAATTATCTGTCGTCTCCCCAAAGTCACCTTTGGTCCTAAGCGGATTAGTAAATTTAATCTGACTATTATGTCCCGTAATTGCAGTAATTGACTATTTAGCGAAATTCGCACGAAGTCACCCAATAGGGATAAGGGTTTTACCAAGTTGGTGACTTTATGAGAATAAACCGCCTTGAGATAGATCATGAGGGCTCTGAGTGGGCAGAATGAGAGATCTTCCACATCATCTGGGCCAAGGATGTATAAAAGCAGTGGAATGGTGAACAGTCTGTCTGGTTGGGCAGGTTCTTGGTGATAAAGTCCCAACAAAGACATATGAAGACCTTTCAATGCCAGTTTCTCTAAAAACACACCCTGCAAAACTCAAAAACCTTGCCACTGTAGCACAAGGTAAGAGAACGATGCTGACGTAAGATGACTAAGAACCACACAAAGGTCATAAGCTGGAAGTCAAAACTTGGCCCACTTGACCAGCTATTAACAAAAGAAGCATTCGCATTTATGGCATTCTAGAATTCTTGTTATCTTTTGCAGTAGCCACAACAGAGTTGTGAGTTAATGCCTGCGAGAAAAAATCTTCAGGTTTTTTTAATGTGAAGATGTTGTAGCTATGATATGTAACAACTTGTGCTGACCTGCATTTGGGAAAGAAATACCCAGTACCTTGCAGGAATTCTCAAAGATCTTCCACTGGTTATAATAGAGGGAATAAGTGCTTGCATGTTGTCCCAACACAATGGCTTGGGAGGTGGAGGTGATGCCAGAAACCACTCAAACCAAAAGCAGGGATTTCACAATGACCATTCTAGATGTTAAGGCAAATCAAGCTTCTTTGGATGAGATGAAGTCTTCGATGAACCAGGGAAGTTAAGGAGATCCTCATTCACCCCAAGTTACCCTTTTAATTTACCCCTGTAATTATTTTCAAAGTCATGCACATGTAATTTCTTTTACTCAAGATGTAAAAATTGATGGTATCCCCAAATCATGGTAGGACAATACTTACATGGTCCATTGGGCACAATTCTTCAGTTTTTCTTTGTGTTGCTCTATGCTTTTTATACCCCACCACATATCATCAATGTGTTTTGTTGAATATTTCAACATTGGCTTTGAATCTTCTCTCAGAAAATGCAACAGTGGAACAAAGTACAACCATGAAGAATCTGCATGTGATTCCTTGTATGTGTTTAAGTATGGATGAAAGACGGTGTGGTATGTCACTGAGCTATTTTCCTCCATCATTTTAAGAACAGCTCCAGCAAACGTCCTGAAGGAAAGACAAAGGCAGTCACATAAGACATTAACAAACTGAGGAAGTACTTGGAGAGGATGAAGACATCCATAATTGTTCTTAACCATGCATCAATGCCCAACAGATAGATAATATGAACAGACTTCTACCTACCATTAGTTAATAACTGTACTAAAGTATTGTCGGAAATAGAAAAAAAATGTTTTTAGGCTGTTACTCTGTATCCCTAAAATTTACACAATTGCAAATAGCATATGTCGAAAAATAACCCACATCAGCCTAACTGAGTGTTCAGTAGGAAGCGTAATAGGATATCCAGAAAAGCATGTTTACTCGTAAAATCTGGCAAAACTTAGAAAAAATACGAATAGCTGCTGAAAACAATAGATCAGACTATAGATGGCAATTAGGTCGTGCAGCTACGTATGACGACGGACCATTGATGCATGAAATGCATGTGCTGCATACAAGCACAAGGGATCATCTCGAAGATATTTTATGCTTTTTCATGTGCGTTGTATGTGTCTCATCTACTGATTAACATCTTACATGTATTACTTTCATTATTAGTGTTTCTCATTTAATTAATAAGGTACTACTGATAATATTATTTAGTCTCTATATTTGCTTTGTGTGTTTTGATCCTTTTTGCAAAATATGCCCTGATTAATTTAATCAAGAATATTCTCCATTCAGCTTTTATCAATGTTTACCGATTGGCAGTACGACAATTTTCAGAACTATAACAGTCAGAAATATCAGAGCATCACTTTTTCCTACCATATAGGTATTTCTTTCTTGTATAAGAATGAATGCATTCCTAAGAGAACTTATTATTGTCACATGATAATTTAACCACAATTAAATAATACTCTTTTGTAAGATATTTACCAGCAAATTATTGTTTACGTTTGTCCCACATATTACTAAACTCTTACGGTATACAGAATCACAAAAGAAACTCAAATGTCACAGGGGTTTAAGGAAGCACATATCACTGTTTATAAGGCTATGTTTTTTTGAAAATATACTTCCTTCCAAAAGTTTAGACTCACTTAAAACATTCACTTTATGATGTGGATACATATACATTGTATATATGGTTACATCAAAGATTGTTCTCCACTAACTTGGGCGAACCAACTGCAAACATTATGCAGATGAATTGCACGAGGATCATGCATCAAATTGCTGAAAAGCATGTGCAAATATTTTGCATGTGAACAGCTGCGTTTTGGTGTAAAACTTTGTTAAGAATTGGCCAATTTTCACTGACTTTTTATCATTTATTGAACTCATGACAATCTTTTTTAACATTACAAATTTGTTTTACAATACATCAGTTCATGTGCAAACAGTACCTTTAAATAGTATGGAATATTTTGCAAAATTTAGTTTAGAACAGTCGCCTGAAGTAAGAGGATATATTTACCTCGTGAGTCTAAACTTTTGAAAGGAAATATATAATAAGAGGTGTATGAAATGGGGTCACCTCAAGCAAGGGGTATAACATCTCACACTTTTTTCTAGCAGTATAACTTTCAGATTCCATTGGCAATGTCAAGCAGTGTTTGACAGTAAAACATTGCATTTTATTGGAAATAATTGTTATAAGATCTCTCTCTCTCTCTCTATCTGAACGCCTTGTTCATAATATACATTTTCTGTGATAAAGTATTGTATTGTTGGAGGTTTAACTTTTTCTACTTATATATGACAGATAGGTTTTCAAAACAACAGAAAAATAATGGGTAACTCTTAGCTTAACTCATCAAATCTAAGCCCTTCCGCTATGTTACGCTGCACATTTGTTTATCAAAACACTCTCTGAAATATGGATAGTCACACATACTATTGATCTATGGACAGTAGTTTATGTTTAATTAATTGCCATTGAGGCTTTAGCTATTGCAATACATCGATAGTCTGATCCATCGGTACACTCCTACTTTATGATACTGCACAGTATGGGCCCTCTCAGTCTGAATATGTATATTATTGAATTTTGTTTCCTAAGAAATATCAAAAGCACACAATCAATCAATCTCAATTAATCTCAGTCTCAAAATTTGTGTGTGCGTGCGTGTGCATGTGCATGTGTGTGTGCGTGTGTGCGTGTGTGTACTCCACTGTATCTGAACTCCTTGTTCATAAAATAACTCCTTGTTCATAAAATACATTTTCTGTGAATAAAGTTTATATGAACCTCGATTGATTGTCAAGAGGGTTGATAAAACTAGGGCAATGAGAGATTAGTAAGTGTTGTATTACATGCAATTTGCCTGATAAAGTAAGGGTTATTACTGTTTTGAGTACATTAACTGAACTTGATTGTTGCAAAAATATGTTCACATAATTGCTGTATACTGAAGTACATAACTGTACATACACATTTAAACATATACTCTTCCAAAAAAAGAAACTTGACATAGGAACAATATAAATTTGAAAATATTTGATGCAAACCAATCCATCCTGAATCCCAACATGTGGAGGAACGTTGAACAAAAACATAATGTTACCTTCACGTTTGTAGTGAATTGCTAAAACGCACACTACATGAAACGCACGTGTATCACAAAATTGTGTATCAACCTGATGTGAAACCTATGACTGTAGGCTTTAAAGACACATCAATGGTACTCCATATGCATTGCCTTAAGCCACTATAGATGACAAAAGAATGCCAAGACTGACAGAAGCTCAACAACATAATGACATCGGCCATGTACAAACCTATGCACCTGATACAACAATACTGGGAGTGTCAATAACAAACCCAGGTCAGGTCGATGTGGAGTTACCACAACCGCCCAGGATCGCTACACCTGGTTGAGACATCTTTGTTCACACACCACAACTGCAACATCCACAACAACCCAAATTCCTGGATTGCACTGAATCTCCGATCAGACAGTGCGTAATCAGCAAAAGGAAGCCAGACTTTTTGCCAGAAGACCAGTTTGACGTAACGTCTTGAGACAACGTCACCAAGCAGAACGTCTACAACAGTGCAGACAATGAGTGAGATGGCCACAGGCAAGATGGAGGACAATCTTGTTCTCAGATGAGTCTCGGTTTCTTCTCAGATGTGCTGATGGATGTTCATGTGTATACAGACGTGGGAATGAACATTACGCCAACAACTGTGTACAGCAGTCGATAGATTTAGTGGTGGAAGTGTCATGGTGTGAGCAGGTATCCATCATCCTTCTTGGTCACCCGATTTGTCCCCATTTGGACATCTATGGGATACTCTGGAACGATGCTTGCACCAGTGTAATCTGCCACCTCAGAGACTAAAAGAACTGTATGCAGCAATTCAGCAAAAGTATTAAAACATTCCTCAAGACAGCATTCGACATCTCCTTTCTTCTATTGGACGCTGCTGCCAAGCTGTTATCGATGTTTATGGTGGTCACACCAGATACTGACATTTTACTCTGACCAAGTGGCTTTAATAGCCCTCGGTGGTTTAAACCAAACACTTTCTGGATAATCATGTTTTGGAAATTTGTAAAGTGATGATTTTACTGTAATTGAGCAATGATGTCATGTTTGAATCAGTTATATGCACGCAGTAAATAAACTCCGAAACAGCATGTCAAGTTTCTTTTTTTTGAAGAGTATATACATCTATAAGAGTTTGCGAGGTGAAAAGTTTTGGTAAGTATAATCTGATCAAATATGTTGTCACTGAAGTCCACACTAGTTGGTCCGAAGTACAGTTTGTTCAGTTCACACTGGTGCTAAATAGCTTCCTGAGAAAGTTGGGAGTCTTGTTTCCCTTCATTGAGCATACTTAAAGGTCACATAAACCCTAGGGGGTACAAATACATAAATCACTAACTGGCATCGTTATAAATGAAACCCCGTCATTAAAACTACTCATTTCGACCTTTAATTTACTTAAATCGACCTTTTTGACAACAGTGCACAATTCTCACCCGCGAACGAAATTTCAACCAATCAGAGCGGCGCGCCTCTGTGACGTCATATGAGGAATAGCTTTGAGGGCCGATGCAGAATTCATCTACATTTTAGGGGGTAAATTATCTTGTTTACAGGCTTGTATAAACCTGAAATCGTGACAATTGTTGTGGAAAATGAAAGCTATATGTTCTCACAATCTACTGTCATTTAATTTTGTCTTCTGCTTTGCCTAGTTTCGAGTTACAACTTGTTTTCATAGACGATTCTGTCAAAATCGATTGGTGTCGTTAGGCCCTATTTGTATAATGACTGATCCAAATTGATCCCATTTCTGTGTTTTTTACCTCGATATTTAATCATGTCATGTAAAAATCTGTTTGTATTCTCAAAACAGTGTCGCCCATAAGTTTTCACATGCAATACAGCAATTAATACCCCCTTGTTGTAACCCGTGTTAGGTTGGTATAAACCTACACATGTTATTTGTCATCATTCACTTGATGGTCAGTTAATGAATTTATAACAGGTATAATTAGTGGTAACACACTTAGATTACCCGACAAAGGTTCCCATTTGGCATTTCTTGTGTCTGGAGTAAATATTCAACATTATAAACATCGATCAAAGGATTAACCGGTAACACGCTGATTGATTAATTACTTTTATATTACACAGCGGAATTTTCAAAAGGTATGTTTATGTATGTAGATTTACTAATCTATACTGAATACACTCTGTCGCTGTCGGTGTCTCGCGTAAAACAACGTCCTTCTTTCAAAGGATTAACCGGCAATACATTGATTGATTGCCCATTATTGGCTAACTAAATTACTGTTTTAAAGAAAGCGGACATTATGCAATTAGTTGCCAGGTGTGCTATCTTGGGTGACCAATGAGACTATACACCAATACCTGAAAAGATTTATCACTCTTTTTTCGTATATTAAACTGTTAAAAGACACATCATTTGGAACAGTTTTGTGGATATTGATGGATACATTCCTCGAACAAGGTAATGGCCTGATATTGTTCCTATAACTTTAATCTGTTTTAATTTTAATATTTGCATTTTGTTTTTATTCATTTGTCGTAGCATTCAACAGAATCATTGTTTTTGCCGTGAAGTGTAATGAGACAGACAACATGCACTAGGGAGGGGTGTGTGCGAATTATGATTCACATTGGCAAACTATAAAATGTCTAGCTATTACAGTTCTGTTATAAATTCACTATAAGTATCAGCAGATCGTCTGCTTTTTATTTAGTTTCAAAATGCATACAAGTGTGATAATAAACTAATTAGGATTATAAGACCAAATATAAAGACGCACATTGACTAGTATCTACATACTGGTGAGTGGACATTAACCATGGGAATGTAGCAAGAAATTTATCGCTAGTATTGTGACTTCGACCCCACCTCGCCTCCGTGGAAGAAATCGTTATGTTATAAGTTGTGTCATGCAAAATCCGTTTGGTTTTGATTCCAATACATATTTAACTACTGAGTAGAAAGTAGTCTTGATTTTCTAACTTGATGAAAACAAACTATAATCTCATTAATTCTAACAGATTGTTTTATTTTTAAAATGGCGGCTACCCTGTCGGGAACATCCGCCAGTCTGAGGATAAATGGTATTTAGGTTTGTTTTCACTCAGTTATAAAATCAAAACTACTTTCTACTGGTAGTAAAATATGTATTTTATTGATGGCCAATAGGATTTTGCATGACATAATATATCATAACAATTTCTCTCGTGGCAGCGAGGTGGGTGTCAATATAATACTACTTTACAATATTATTGTTACTTCAACCACAACCTCACTTCCGAGGAAGAAATCGTTATGTTACAAGTTGTGTCATAGAAAATCTTTATGGTCATCAATCATATGCATATTTTACTACAACTAGTAAGTACTTTTGATTCTTTAACTTCCATGAAGCGATCTGAACACAAGTAAGATATCGCTTCAGGCTTCCACAACGCCGCCGGACTCACAAACATAACCCATTTAGCATACGAACCGCGGGGTCCTGTGGAAATCTGTGCATGGGGACACCATCACCCAACCCCTAGGAGCAATTGACGACAAAGCAACGATTCGGCATGTCGCCGTTGATGTCGAGAAATCATCAAAATTGATGAGCGCTACACATTTTCTATACAACTAACTGAAAATCGTTCCTCATATGACGTCACTGCAGTGCTCTGGCGACAGAGTTACGTAACCTGTCTGTGGTTTCGTTGGCTGGCGAAAGGGAAGCAGGCGACTTTTTGGCCACTTTTAATCGCTCGGTATTAATTAACCACAAGTTTTTAAAGAATAAATTTGGTGTTCCGCATAAGACTAACCACAAATCTTTCATATGTAATGGTTAAAAGAGTAACAAAAAACAAAGTTTATTGGTTCTTTAATGGCTAAAATGATCATACCCCCTCTTATGACAGTTTCCTATTGAACACTGAGGTATTTGCCATGATTCTCTGAGTTGGATTGGACAGAATACTTTCATTTGGAAATTGTATGCTTTAAAGTTTGACTATTATTGAGGGTAGACATAAGTCACTCATGACATAGACAGCATCAAAATTATCAATATCACAAAAGGAACTTTCAATTACTTACTTTGAAGACCTCTTTGGGAAGTGTGTCCTTAAAGCTTCAAAGCCTTCAACAGTATTCTGCTGTGAATCTGGCTTCATCATCAAAATCTTGAGAAAATCCCTATTCAGACCTGCAGCTTTGAAAGGAATTTTGTTTTCACTGTGTGCAGACAGAATAAAAACACTAAGCACAAGGGAAGCTGCAAAATTCTTTTCAATCTTCACAAGATGGTCCATCAGAGGATCTATGACGTTTTGGAACATCTACAAAAGACAAATGTAGTTATGTGATTGCAATAGTAATGCATTATAGAAAAAGGTAAGTCATGAACTAATATTGTCTTATTCAAGTGATTATCAAAACAGTATTTTGACCAAATAGTGTTCAACACTGATCACATATACTATACAGGTGGAGAAGGGGGCCTATAAAATCAATATAATGAAAAGTAATAGAGCTTGACATTTTTTATGTTATCCATGGGACCAATGTGTGAAGAGCAGTTGAAATTGGCATCACTTGCTGTGGTATATCCAGAATATTTCACACATACCTGTATACTAAGGCTGAAGAGGCTCACTTTTATTCAGATACCAAAACTTAAATGCAGTTAGTATTATGTCCATCAATAGGTTTTTCCTCTATTTCGAGCCATCATGTTTGTCATAATAATGCCATCACGTGCACATGCAGAAAATGTATGGCTGACTAAATAATGAAGGTCAGATTTGTCTGTCATTCTTGGCATGTTCCCTATCAATATCGATTACAGGTCGAAGCAGGAAATACATAACAGTTTTTTTGTTTTAAAACCAATACTTGTATGCTTTTCTTGTTTTGAAATATATTTTTTAATGTATTTCCTTATATATAACACCATAAAATTAATACAGCTTTATCATGACAGTCTGTAAATAGTTGAAGTCAAGAACAAACTAGTAAGAGATATTATAAGCATGCTGATCAAAAGTAACCACTCAATATTCAAGTAATAGCCACTTATAACAAGCACAATTTAGAAACGCTGTTATGGATATAACCTGATATTGAAAATTTAAGAACTGTTTATTCTGCAACCTCTGAATTTCAGCTTAAACTGCATGTATGTCATGCCACAGAGTCTCCAATTGCTGGAGACTGGAATGGCCCAAAATGAAGTGGTCAGACATTTTGGGGTTCATTGAAACATGATCTCATCTCTGTGGAGACGTTTTCAACATTATGGGAACACGAGAGATTTGCCTCAGACCAGCTGTCCACACATGATGTCACATCAGCATGACCACATTCGGCTGATCCATCTTTGGAATCAATACATGACTGACTGTTTGACTGCCAGGACCATTCCTGGCTTACATCAAATCAAACAACATTTACAGTACAGGAGACAAGATTGGGATTGTGTTTTGTTCACTGACGAGTCAGGATTTCATCTGGACAGCTCAGATGGCAGGGCAAAGGAGTAAGAACGGCAAGGTGAACGGTATGCTGATGTGTGCGTTGTTCACTTTGGATATATGGTATCAGTATCCAATTCATATAACAAATTTATGCACCAGAAATGAAAATTATATCAGCTAGGAAACGCATTTTAGTTAAAAATTGCAAACATGACGTTACCTTAACTATTGCAGCCCAACCTATAGTTTGGCATGAAATGCATGTGGACCCGTTTTTTTGTAAATATCTCTTCATCCAATGATCCAATCGATCTCAAACTGTGCAAGTGGATTTTTTTGTCAGACAACCTAATCACATTGTAAATCACCGATTTTATGCATTTGTAGTAAAGAATCTGTCTATGTAACTGTCAACAAAATAAACAGCAGAACGCAGACGGCTTGCAGAGGGAGGGAGCCAATGACCTGTAACAGCGGCAGTGTTGGGTCATAAAGGTCAATGCATGTGCAATTCATGATAGTTACCTGTGCACTGCACAGTGATAGACCGTTTGGATCATTCACATTGACTACTTCTAGCTGTCATCATGAAAGCTTATTCAGATGATGCTAAATGTTTAATTAGAAATGTGTTGAATTTTTTTTAAAAAGAGAGCAAACGTAGTAAACCAATTTATAAGGTGTCGGATTACATGAAACGTACAACTTTTGCTCTTGGCATGAAAAAGAACATTGTGCTAAAAATTGTGAAAAATAAACCAACAACCAATAAACAAAACCTTGTACAAAAAGGTAGGCATCCAAAGTTAGATTCTTTTGACATCAGGGTCATCAGAGATGTCATTCGCCGGCTATTTGCTACAAATGAACACCTGTCCACAAGAAAGTTAAAACACATCCTTGCAGAGGATCATGACATTAATGTTTCTAGGTTTATGCTAAGCAAACTACTGCTCAAATTTCGATACAATTACAAGAAGGTAGCAAACCAGAAACTTGTAATGTGTGAGAGATCTGATATTGTGAAAATAAGGTGTAACTATCTGAGAGCAATTAAGCAGGCAAGAGAGGATGGGTTCGAACCTATATAACTGGATGAGACCTGGGTCAATGCAAACCATACTGCTGCCAGACAGTGGCTACCCACTGATCCCAGTGATGGTAGGAAAATACCAACAGGCAAAGGTGAACGTTTAATCGTTCTTCATGCTGGTTCCCACCGTGGATTCCTACCTGGGTGTGATCTGGTATTTCGGTCAAAGAGCACAGATGGTAGGGACTATCATACAGAAATGAACTCAACGGTTTTCACACAGTATGTTGAGGAACAATTGTTGCCAGCTCTGCCTTACAAAAGTCTTGTTGTCATGGACAATGCTCCCTATCACAGTGTTCGAGATCCAAACAATAGGTGCCCAACTTCCAATACAAAGAAGTCAGATATGCAGCAATGGCTAACAAATAACACTACACAATTTTCAATTAAGGCCACTAAACCACAGTTGTACTCTTTCATTGAACCTAATAAACCTCCACCCACATATAACATTGACAACATGCTACGCCAACACGGCCATAAGGTCTTGAGATTACCACCGTATCACTGTGATCTCAACCCAATCGAACTAATCTGGGGAGACCTTAAAAGTACAGTGGCCCCGAAAAATCAATCATACAAGTTGAATGATGTCAAGCACATTCTCAACACTGCTATATGTGACATTGACATTGCACGCTGGCATGCATGTGTTGAACATGTCAAGAAGGTGGAGAAAGAGTACTGGCTCAAAGATGGCTTGAAGGAGCAAACAGTTAATCCAGTTGTCATTCGTCTGGACACTGATGACTCCTCTGTGGAAGAATGGAGTGACCTTGATGAAGTTTAATTCTGTTATTATATTTACAGATAATAATAGTATCCAGTCAGATATGCTCAAAGAAATATAACTTCTTTTAACAATGACAGCACTGACTAATTCCAACGACTTATAGTGTAACATGAAACACTCATTTCACATAAAATTATCATGAAAATATAAATATTAACTATCTATATGCTTAAAGCTATTAGAAATGCATTGCTTCATTTGGAATGTGAACGACATCAAAAGATAAAACTTTTGTCTTCATTCTATCTTTTCTTCAATGAGTGTGCATGATTGTGTGTGCTTGTGTCCGAGGGAACGGGGCTTTAACAGTTGTTAAGTTCTCACCATAGGTGGTCCGATTAATGATTTAGTGTAAGTATACTTTCTGTGTTCTTTAAATGCATTTCCACTTCGGTACTGCATAAACAAAATATGACATTAACATTACAAATTTAAAGATTTTAACCTACAGAATAATTCTCACTAATGGGTTTTGTGGTTCATGTTGAACAACTCAGAGAAACAAACTCCGTATAATGGTTAACAGTTGGCACCCACCTTACCCTATTCACGACCTGTGCCACCTCTTCATACCTGTCACGTGCATAGCTCACCTACATTGACGAACGTTGACCTTAATGACCCAACACTGCCACTGTTACAGGTCATTGGCTCCCTCCCTCTGCAAGCCGTCTGCTTTCTGCTGTTTATTTTGTTGACAGTTACAGAGACAGATTCTTTACTACAAATGCATAAAATCGGTGATTTACAAAGTGATTAGGTTGTCTGACAAAACATCCACTTGCACAGTTTGAGATCGATTGGATCATTGGATGAAGAGATATTTACAAAAAAACGGGTCCACATGCATTTCATGCCAAACTATGAGGAGGACATTTCCTAAGCTACATTTATGACAAATGCTCCTCAATTCTTCGAAACAAACTATTTTCAGGTTATGACTTTTGGGGTAATCTTGGCCTTTGAGTGATCAATTTGTCATAAAGGAAATCAAGCTCTAAAGGAAAGTAATATAAATTTACCCCTCAGATGTCCTATCACTGTTTTGTTTCAAGACAAAACATGTCAGCAGTCAAATTAAGATGCCCTTAATGTATTACCATTAACATCTGCTTAATAAACTGACCTACCTGCAGAGATAGTTCTTTGTCCAAATAAGCCATGTTTTTGTCTACCATTTGAATTGACAATCCAGTATATGTCATGCCAATCTTATCCAAGTATTCTTCAATAACACTCGACTCTCCAGATTCCCTCTGTATCAACCTTGTCAAAATTGATTTTGCAGATGGTAGGAATAATTCTCCTGCAAACATGACATCATGACGTATTCTGCCTTGAAGGCCACCTCCAAAAGCTTTGGACCATAATCTTTTCACAATGTTCTCTGACATCTTTGGATATACAAATCCATCATATTGATGCCATGGTGCTGAAGAAGGAATACATCAAATATTAGGATATTCAGGTTGTTTGTTTTTAAGAGTTTGTTTATTACCATATTCTTTGATATTCCAACACTTTGTTAACCAAAGGCAAAATCCACATTGAAAACATTTAATTACATGATTGTTTTCACCAAGTTGAAATGTCAGACACTTATCAAAAGCCTCAGTCAAGTTTTGATACTGATTTTATGCATAAATAGTGAGAACATGAACAACAAATTCTATTTTGAAAGTATACAAAGTCATCATGAAGAAACAATAACATGTTAAAGTTCAGTATTCTGAATCTGGGAAATTCAGAAGAGAAGTCTTGTACAATGACAAGAAAATGATGAAAAAAGCAAGAGCATGGTTAAAACTTTGAAACTTTAAATTTAAGAGAAAGACATGGGGGCCTTAATACTATCCAAATATATACCAAATTTCATTGGCTTTTGAACAAAAACAAATGTGCAATCAACGATTGTTTAAGGAGAATCTTCTTACATAAGAGGGCCATGAAATCAATGATATTGTGTATTGCAACACATTATTATTCAAATGTGTTCATGAAAGAAAAAGATGGTTTCTTGGTAAGTTTTACCTTTACACATATACAATATCACCCAAACAAAACCAATAATGATGTTGAACATTCTTGCACACTTTAAGGCCAATCACTTCCGACAATTCAGGGAGGAAGTCAAAAGGTAACTGAGGGTCTGACTGAAGATGACTGGTTAGTTATAAATGCAAAATTATATACATATGGAAATTAATTAAGCAACACCTAATTTACAGACCCATAATTCTATGAATTAAGAAAAGAGAACACTTTTCTGAATGATCTATTAACATTATGCATCGTGCAGCATAGCATGATTTTTAATGGATATTCAATGCATGTGCAACAGCGTGCAAAGCGTGTGAAATATCACGTCCCCAATATTGTTGAAATCAAGTTTTTACTCATAACATGTCACACTCCCTCCTTTCCATTTGGACTGAATATTCAGTACCATAATTGTAATGGCATGTAGTAAATTGTGAGAGGCAAATAGTTGGCATGAGAAATGCAGAAATGTCCCTCAGACAAACTGGACATCAAGTTGGGCACAATCCTTCCTTTATTTGAAGACTCTTGAACAAACACAGGGCTACCAATGATGTTCAAGATCTTCCAAGGCCTGGCAGACCCTGTAAGACAACATTAAGAGGAAATACAGCATTGCTGCGACTTGTTAGGCAAATCGGACTCATGAGATACAGGGCCAGAAAACCCATCTCCAGCTCACAAAGCAGCACGACTTGCCTGATGCAATCAATGTGTTAACTTGAACACTGTATAACGACGGAGGGTATACGTGTCTGAAGACAAAAGAGCACATCTGTCAGGCCTACCAAAGAAAACTTTCCCACTGTGCAGAAAAACGCAGATAAGTGCACATTAATCGTGGAATGAGCAGCATAAACATATGACCTGGCTACTGAAACAGTAAAAACGGCAACTAAAGACTATGAAACTGCAACATTTTTATATCAGCAAACTTTGACTCTAATGCGCATGCGCATTATGCGCTTTCAAATTTCTGAGCAACCGTGAATCGCCTCGCATAGAAAAAGTATTAAATATGTCGAAATAATTGCTGTCAGTCATTTCATACACATGGAAAGTAATGAGCACATAATAATCATGATGATAAATGCAACAGAATAATACAGATAACAGATAACACAACAGAAAGACTTTAAAAGGGGAATGTAACTTTTGTCCAATCTGGAAAATGTCAACATGCGGTTGAGACTTCTTCTTCCATGTGCGCATGCGCAAAATCGAAGGTTCTTTGGTTTTTTTATCCAGTTTTAGCGATTTAAAGTTACTGTTTTTATAGTTTCAGTAGTGAGGTATTATGTTTATGTTGCTATTTCCATGATTAATGTGGACTAAACAGCATTTTTCTGCACAGTGGGAAAGTTTTCTTTCGTTGGCCTGTCTATGGTCTCCCAAAATATCTAGGACACAGTTCCCTACAGGGGGAGGGTAAATCATGGTATGGGGATGCATTTAATTAGGTTGCAAGATGGACCTCATTACCATTCATGGTATCCTCAATGGGCTTCAGTATCAACAGAAGATCATTGATATGGCTGTTTTCCCACATTTTCATTACCAGGTCTCAATACCATTGAACATCTGTGGTACATTTTAGGCCATCATATTCAACAAAGAGACACACCTGTCCAGGCTCTAAATGAATTGATTGCTATTTTGCATGAGGAATTGAACAGGATTTTTCAGAGTCAAATCCAGATATTGATCCAAGCAATGAGGATGCATCTTGAATCAGTTGTTCGTGTGCAGAGAGGTTACACAAGATACTGATGGAAAGTCAGTATTTGGACATGCAAGATGGTATTCTTCAATACCTGAACAAGATGTGTGTATGGAACTGACAGTTAAGCCTGTGCAAGAAAAATTAAATTCGTGATGTTTTTGCATGAAATGACATTGTTTTCCAAATCTGTACCATCTTCAAATAAACCACATTATGTCAAGGTAACCTTGGCTCTATTTCTCCTCAACCCTGTCTTTTCACTACAAAATTCATATGAAAATCTTTGACACATTTTATGCACCACTTCATTAAAGTTGCGGAGTCAGAAAAAATATGGGTGTTGCTTAATCAATGTCCAATTGTTTAGAATGAATACCACATACTGTAACAGGCCAAACTTTCTCTCTGGCCAAACCTTCCCCATTGAAACTTTCACCCAGGCCAAACTTTCACCCCCTAGGCTTAATCTTCCCGATGGAAAGTTTGTCCTAGGCCAAACTTTCCCCACCCTTGAATCAACTTTAAAGGCTACTTCTTTCCCATCCTTGTTCTTACATCAAAAGGGGGCTATTTCTTCCCCAACCTTCACTACAAAAATGACTTGGTTTCCTGAAATCTGGAAACCATCCGTATACTGGGTAAATGGGGAATCCAGTTGGTTTCCATTCACTGAAACTGAGTAACTGAGTTTCCAACTAGATTCCATTTTGGATTCTTTGATTTTTGCATTTCAGTAAATGGAAACCAACAAGAAACTAAGGTTATAGGTTTCTTGTTGGTTTCCATTCCTGGAATTTGCAATTGAAGGTTTCATGAAATGGAAACCAACATAAAACCAGAAAATGTAGTTTCATGTTGGTTTCCTGTCCACTGTTTTGAACTGAGTAACTGCAAGTATTTGGCATGAAGTTGACCATCCTGGCATCCAGTTGGTATCCATTCATTGAAACTGGGTAACCTAGTTTCCTAATAGAATCCATAATGGATACTGTAAACTTATAGTTCCGGTAATGGAAACCAACAAGAAACTATGGTCATGTGTATACTGTTGGTTTCCATTCCTGAAACTTAGTTTCGAAGATTAACTACTTTCATATCATATTACATTATCAGTAATTGCGTAGAATAATTATGAGGTCTTAAAATTCAAAATGAATATGCCCGGGGAAGGAACAGCAGATTTACATTTGAAAGAGTACGTAATTTGTAAGATTGCTTAGATGAACAAGAAGAAAGGTTACCCCAAATAGTTGTTGACGCATTGGTCAACTTTATATTTACCTGTTTTTGTTGAACCAAGATGTTGAGTGTGTGGAAAGAATTGATATTCATGTGGGACACCAAATCACTATACTGTTATAATTTTGATATATATGACACATGAAGTGTTTCACTTGTGTTCGACAATAACTGTGAAGTCTGACAAGCTTAGATGAACAATCCTCAGTTATCAAATTTTATCATTTATTACAATCTTAATTGTTATTAAATACCAATTATTTATCGTCATTTCATATCATGGGGAATTTTGAAAATCTAAATAGATGGATGATATTCTACGATGAGTAACAATTTTCACTGTAGTAATGAAAAAGCTTAAACGTCAAAAAGTGAAATTTGAGGGAAAACTCGGTTTCATTATTTTTGCTTTAGAATGTGAAAGAGTATAAGCATTTAGGAAGTTTAGTATAATGTAATTGAAACAATTGTCAATCCGGTACATACATTACGGATTTCTCAATAACTAGAATATCAGGGAATTGTACTATGAATTGAGGTTGTGAGTAATGTTTACCATTAAAAGCATTTAAAAGTTAGTATAAGCTTTGACAGTGAGTTTAAGTACTTGACAAACAATCAGTGTCATGTCATTTGTATGTCGGGGCCTGTGTGTCGGCTTCCTTGGGGTTGTCTCATCTTAACGGGCACCTATTATCAAAATTGAATTGATGTAGAAGTAATGAGTCGGTAATCCGTGGGCACGAACTTAACTCACACATTTTATAAAAGCAATGTTTTATGTACTGAAGTGGTCATTTTCGTCTTTTATGTCTTGAAATCACAACCAAATTTGGTCAGATAATGTTTTCATACCTGCCAATCGAAAAGGGATTAGGTATTTGTTATTACCCACAATGCCCCTACACACAATTGCCGCCATTTTGTCACTTGAACTCATGAGAAGTTGTCTTGAAAGTGGACCAAAGTGTCTCCCGTTTTTAACACAACAAGGAACCTAGCACAATGAATTGTTCCTTCACTTGTCCATGTTATCTGAATCAAGAAAATGGCAATGCGGTTACACTAGAAGCTTTGGAGGCTCGGGTACGTGAAAACTTGAAAACAGGAGCAGTCGTCGATCGCGGAGGGAGAAAGGGAACATTCCACGACCATGTCAGGTATAGTGTAAATTTCTTGAATTAAGCAATAGCTCATGTTATGTGTAACGTTTAATGTACATAAGTAGCTAGGACAATAAATATGAAATTAAAGTTATAGACTTGATGGAACTCGATAAGCAATTGCGTGTCGAAATGTTGGCAAGAGATATGGCTTCCTTTACTTAGTCAACTCAAGAACTCGATTGTGATTTGGATCAGGTCACATATGACTAAATGGTTCATTATCGTAATGTATGAAATATTGTCTTTGCAAGAACAATATGAACCACAAATATATCCAGCAATGTCACGACTCAAGATAACTTCCAAACGTATTTAGAAGTATTCGAATGTTATTGCAAGAAATCCAATGATTGGAAGTTCTATTTTAAAGCTTGTTATTGAAATTAATGAAAATTGCTTTTGATATTTGTACCACTGAAAACAATTCAGTGGGGGATAGTGAGCCATTTTGCATTTATAGGAATTCTCTGACCAGATTTGGTGCATGGTTAGAGTGAAGTTTCAAAATTCTTTGTCTAGTTATTAGAGTTACAAGACAGCCTATGACAAAAAAAATCGACAATATTTTTCAGCCAACTTTTAAGACGATATTCATCATGATACTATAATGCTGTTGAGTGGATAAATTGTCAACACAATATTTTTGGAAACAGTTTTTTAAAAGGTTTTCAAGTCAGTATAGGATAGATTACTGATGTATGAGGTAATCATCTGATGTAAACAATTTTACACTTAGAATGTGAAGATATTTAACTCTGAATGAAAAGATGTGGATTTTGTTAGATCCACAAAAGAAGTTTGCAAAGAAAGTTGGATATATAGAACGTTTAATAGGATATGTTGGGGATACATTGATGTCCATTGTCAAAAATTATATGAACTTGTTAATTTTGCTTCTTTTGATATTAGCATATCTACACCTTGCAAATTGATATTTATTCTTCTATTTTCATGCCTTATTGTTATCAAGAGTACAATATCACTTAGAAAGTTCCTGATTTTTCCCTTAATTTCTATATTTCCAGCATTCAATTGGGGCAGTGTTGGAAAAACTGAAGATGACTAACTGATCTTGACCTGCAACAGGTATGTGTAATCCAAACCCTTCAGTAAATGATGTACATAAAATTATCCAAATAATGTAAATCCTATGAATCAGAAAAATACATAAAAATTACACAACCACTATTTTCGTAACTTCCAACTGGAAATATTTTCCACCTATACACATCTCCTTTCAGAAGCAGTTTGGCGGTTTTGGACGAACAAGAGGGTTCATTCACCTAGAAGACAAAGAAGTGGGAAAGCAGATGCCTTTGTCCGCAAAGAACAACAAAAGATTCAGATGTGTAAGTAAATTCTAACCGTTCTCAATTCTAACACAGGTTAAAATTTAAGAAAAACCTTATTTGAACAAAAATCAAGTTAATGTAATTTCTTGAAAATGTACACTGATATTCCAAAGAACTTACAAAATAAACACTGTTTAATACGTGCAATGTATAATTAGAAATATGCAGCTAAAAGAGTTTTAAATAGTACATAGTACAGCGCCAATGTACATTATGTTTTGGTCCGGACATATTTCACCTTGCACACATCAATTAACAATTTATTAACAATACCCCACTAAATAGTAGCTGCAAACACATTGTCAATAGCAGTATGAGATATTAGTTATGGAGGTCCGCCTATGACCCCATTCACTTTCTTGTCTGCCAGAATGACCCCACATTATTATTTTTTAAAACCCAAATATTTCTTTTCACATTATTTTCAGAATAATGGATAATTCATAGTTCTATAATATAATATCAAAGCATAATGCATGTAACATTCAGAAAATAAGTTATAGCTTTCACATGAGAATTTCTCGGAAATATAGGCAATGATAGCATGAATTTAGTGTGCATTCCTAAGAAATGTTATTAATTCAATGTCAATGTTTTCTATAAGTCACAACTGTTATTTAGTGAAAGAAAATCTTTTTTGTCAGTCATCAAATGTCCAACCCAAGCTAAGGAAATACGTCCTTCTCTCGCTTGTCTCTCTACTCTTACAAATTTCATTAAGTTCTTCTGCTATTGAAACTTTTGTCACTTTTCAGGTCAAATGATCAGTTTTGATTTATTGAACTTCGTTCTTATTGGACAGTGGTTACAGTTTATTTTTCCTCAAGCTTAAGGAACATTGGACAGTTTTCCTTTCTCCAGCTAGCGATATTGTTGACGAATGCTTGTTTGTACTGATTGTTTATTGTTTTCTAACTTTCAGAAGCTGGAAAGCAGGAGGAAGGTCCTGACGATTGACTGGCCGGAGAAGAAACAGAAAGTTATTCCTCGCTTGGGGAAAGAGTTAACATTTCTCAAATTGGAAAACCAAATAATATGGATTCATCTACATTGACGAGTTTAAGAAAACATCTCATACTCACTGCTATTTATTCCCTTATTACTTTTAATTATTTATGCACTTTGAAAATTCAGTTTTTATTAATGTGAACATTCCAAACATCAGTTGTTTATCAGCAAATTGTTGAATGTAAATAAAGCTATCATGACTTTGTGTTTTATTCTGTTATTTGTTATCCTGACGGTTTTACCATTGTGCAATTGTATGAAATACCTGATTTGGTATGTGTGTTGCATGAAACACAACCTCTTTTCTGGAGGAGCGGGTAAGGGGCCAGCACAACAGATTCAGTTTCATGGAAACCAGGTAATAAGCTGGGAACTTGGTTGGAAACAACAATAAACTAAGCACCAGCAAGAGCCTCCATGAACGAGTGGGCAAAGTCCCGACATGGATACTATCCAGATACTGGTGCAAAATGTAGTTTCAGTTTTAATGGAAACTAGGTTATAACTTGGAAACTAGGTTGAAACCTACAACTAACTAAAACATGTAAACCAGGTTGAAACCTACAACAAACTAAAACATGGAAACCAGGTTGAAACCTACAATAATCGAAAACATGGAAACCAGGTTGAAACCTACAATAAACGAAAAAACGGAAACCAGGTTGAAACCTACAATAAACAAAAAACACGGAAACCAGGTTGAAACCTACAATAAACGAAAACACGGAAACCAGCTGGATCCAGCTTGGAGGAGTGGGTAATGAATCTCACTGGAAACCAGCCGGAAATGGTGCAAAATTCAGTTTCAGTTTTCATGGAAACCACAATGAAACTATAGGAAACTACATGGAAACCAACTGGAAATGGTGGTTTCCATGTCGTTTCTTCTCAGTTTCAGTGTTCCCGGAAACCAACTTATTTTTGTAGTGCTTGTTTTCATGTTTATGTTAATATTGAAAAAGTCAGAAACGAAAACAAGACATAGCTATTTACATGAACACTTTGATAAGATATTCATGTTGATATCAAGTTCCATTAACAATTTACAGGTCATCTTCATCTTCATATATAAGATGTACATGGTGCACATTTTGGTTCAATATCCTTATATAAGGTGAGATTCAAAAGCAAAGAAAAGCGTAAAAGCAAAGCATCAAAAGTATGTGTATACAGTTAATGATGCAGATGTTGTCATGAAACAAAGTATGAATTGTTTGCATCATTTATCTTCCAATATGTCAATAATGATCAAATAGTCATGAGCTAGAACTTATTGAGAGTACAAAGTTACTTGCACCAGGTGCAACCTGCTGGAACAGGTACAGAAATGATACACGTCCAGGAGATGAAAATGAAACAATCCAACTGTCAGATGGGCAGATGAAGAACTAATTGAACATGTCTTCATAGGATTGGAGACAGGAGCAGGACGGATTTAGAGATATATGCCTTTCAAGCATGTATGTATTCAAATCACTACACCTAAGTCACAGGCAAGAATGGAATATTTGGCAAAAATTTGTACCAAAAATTAAGTCAACACTACTGTCGGTTTGATGTTGGTAATAACTTGTTCTCCCCTTTTCATATAAGAACAAGGGTGGAAAAGAAGTGGCCTAGCCAGGCCAGAATTTTCTCCCCCTTTAGGGTAGGGGAAAGGGAAAGAGAACTTTACCCCAGCCAAAACTTTCCCTGGGATAAGTATATCCTATGACAAAACTCCCCCGTGGGAAAGTTTGGCCTGAGCCAGGTTCTACCAAGGGAAAGTCTAGACTGGGGAAGAAATGACCTGCTACACCGGAGTTAAGCTAAAAACACATTAAGTTCAACTCACCATCACCAAAAGTAACATGATGCACATATACTTACACACATCTTTTCTCTTTTGTTCTGGAATGTTGAAATGACGATTTGGATCATTTCCTGCTAAGTGTTGCCTGTTCATATAGTGTACAGTTTCCCAGTGGTTATTGTATTTCCTTTCCTTTTTTGAGTACTGTTTCACTCTATACTTGTATTCAAATCCTCCATTTCGTAGACCTTTGGTCATGGGAACACAACACTGATACTCATGTACACCATCCTGATGTTCCCTGTGAAGAATGAAATACTTTATTACATCACATTTCATAAGAACAAACTCAATTAGAATAAAATTTTCAATGGTTTCTTCAAGATAAACTCAAGGGGGAAAAGTTATTATTACATGGGATTTGTTCATTGGGACTCTTTAGTATGAACTAGGATTTGAATCAGGGGAAATGTGTGTTAAATTGGTTAAAGAAACACAGCTGCAGTTGTTATTCTAATTACATGTATTTTGCAAGAAACATGACATAATCAAGACAAATGGCCACCAATGTTCACATTAAAAGGCCAGATAACCAGAGGCTTATCATTTCCACTCAATGCATTCTTTATGAAGTGCAGAAGTCAGAAAAACACCTTTACTCTTCATTCTGGAACAAGTTCGACATGCCACGCCTCGGGGAAAATGACAGATTGAGCTTTAGGCATCAGGGATTTACAGGACGCGAATTCCTGCATCCTATACACATAAAAATTGACAATGGACGCAACAACATTTATTAGCGCATCCACTAGGACGCAGATAAAGTCCAAATACTTTTGTAAAAATTCCAATCAAGCAACAATAAGTTATCACTGAGTTTGCTACTAGATGGGTATGGCATCATTTGCAATTTCATTACTGTAACCATTAATGTGTTGATCATGATACACAATACAATAACAGTATTAGTAAATATAGTTCCAAGCAACGATGGGGCTCCTTGGCTTTAGTTCTATCTAGACTAGTGTATCTGTCACATATCTGATGAAAGTAGTAGCAGTTTTAGTTAATATGAATCATATCACTGCTAGTCGAATGCCCTTCGACTGGAAGGTCTTTAAGTTTCGATAAATTCATCATAAAACCTATTTTCTTAGATTAAGAAATATTCTTGGGTATCATGAATCTCAAAACAGAAGAACCCTTTGTTCAAACAGTCAGAGAAACATAAAATTTGGTGGCCATAACTAATTGCAAGGCTCACTGTGATTCACATTATGCAAATTTAAATGTACGTCTTTCTTTAACAATAAAACATACTTTTCCATTGATCTAATATCAATAATAGATATATACAAAAAGCAGCAAAGACATTGTTTTATTTTCACGAGATCCTTTTCTATTGTTATACTCTTGATCTGCATTACATGCCGCTACATGTAGCTGACGTGATTCATATCTAACTGTCAGTAAACACAACTCTTGTGCCATTTGACTGAAAGAATAACATTGTTATGCTCTTTACTATGATGATGCATTGCCTACGAGTTTCAATTTTCCATTTAAATATCAACAACAGACAAATTGAAATGTTGACACGAAGCGCTCATACTCTGTATTTCTGTAGTAAGTACCAATAACCATAATGCTGTTTCTCTCACGCTGAGCTTTGTTGACACATGTCACTGGTTCCCAATTGCGCAGATCAATGCTCATGCTGTTGATCACTGGATTGTCTGGTCCAGACTCGATTATTTACATACCGCCGCTGTATAGCTGGAATATTGCTGTGTGCGCCGTAAAACTAAACTCACTCACTCACTCTCACATTGGCTCAAGTGAACTTGTGACTTCACAGCTTACACTGTTACACTCGAGAGCAGGTATATATACTGGAAATACACGTAACACCTCAATACAGGTCACCTATGAAGTTTTAAAATCCATGCAAACTGCAGAAGATCCAAATGTTACCGAAAGAGCATTACTCTTTGGGCATTGCAAAGCCGGCGAGTGGGGGTTGTTGGTATATTTTACTGGCGCTTCCTTCAGCTAGCTTAGCGCAACTACCGCCAACACTCACAAATACATATGTATCTAACCCACAAACGGTAATGCTTTTAACATGCACATTAGCATAAAACATGATCAGCTTTTGAGATACATATTGCCAGCTTTCATTGTGCTCTGAAGAGAACCAATGAAAACAGCAACTATAGTGAGCAAAATAGATTTTTTCTTGTCCTACTGTTGTCTTTGGTGCTGTATTGCTACAATTCATAGGTATAATACACATATTTTGGTCGAAATCGGACTGAAAGTCTTAGAGTTAAGGGTGTTTGAAGGGGGCTTGAAATCGTCCAAAACGGAGCCCGAACACGTTTTTGATACGCGAGCGTCTTGCTGAAACACAGCTTCAGACCAGAGTTACCCCCCTTAGACCACAGTTAGTCCCTTAACTTTTACTATGACCCGGAACGCTCTTTCCTTGGGAATAAAAAAATCCCAATGATTGACAATTTTTAAAAGCTGCCTAAAGATATACCTCTTCCAAAAGATTGAATTACAATGAAGAAATAGCACCTCTACTACAGTGTATTTTAATTTTGTGTGGCGCTATGGGGTTTTGGGCACAAACTGTATTATTATTACTGTATTATTATTAACTCTTGAGCCATTTGACCAAAAGAATGACATTCTTATGCTCTTTATCATTATGCATTGCCTACTGATAGAGATACCTGTCAAGTTGTGCTGCAGATTTTTGCTGCACTGTTGGTAGACACCATTTCCATTTAAATATCAACAGCAGCCAAATTGACATGTTGACACGAAGCACTCTTGCTCTGTATATCTGTAGCGTTTATCAATATACATAACGCTGTTTCTCTCACGACGCAAGTGAACCGGGGATTTCGCTGCAATTAAGGTATTCCAGTAGGGGTATTCTCGGGATGTGGACACCCTAGTCATGTAAACACAAAGTCCAGAAAAAGTGTCCATTTTGGGTTACTAACCTAATTAACGCCAGACAATAGACAGAGTGTGTGATTGCAAGGCTTCGGGCAATACTAGATTTGTGAAATTATGAGGAAACGAAACAAGGGGTTTTGTTAACAGTTTTAATAAAATTATAAGACACTGTGTCGGCAAACACAATGACGCTGATGTCCCCATGGTTATTAAACATCGATAAACCTCAATTTCATTTGGAACAGCGGGGTGGTTGTGTGAGGATGTCGTTGACTGTAGATACAGTTGATTTACAACCCTTGATGCCAAGAACACCATTCATTTCTTCTTCTCTTCAGGATTCTGTATGTGTGTCCATTCACGCAGAATTCTAGTACGACAATGTGTGATACTCGATTCTGATTGGCTGAGAGCTCATCAAAACCATACCTAAATGACAGTTTAAGGACCGCTAATTAAAGTGACTGATTCACAGCGTATGAATACAACGAACTCATTGACCCTATTGTTTGTAAACAAACACGTCGGACATCTGCAATTTCTATCTCGGCAGCATCTTTGGTGTTTTTGAAGTAAAAAGTGAATGGTTTGAAGAAGAATTTCTTGACCCTAATCCCAGTGAAGAAACTACGAAGCTGGAAAATCCATCAGCAGCGCAAAAGCGGCAGTATATTCAAAGTGGGTCCAGATCTACGTGTGTTGACGTTGACGCTAAATGTTTAATTTAAAACCTCACGCTAACGCGTTTGGTTTTTAAATTACATTTAGTGGTCTTAAATCAACGATAAAGGATCACAAAATTGAAAACATAGTAGCTTTATCTTCTAAATATCTTCCACCTCGTGATGTCGGAAGACATTTGTAATCTAACTGTACGTTTGTCATAGTGAAAGTGATGTATTGACCTCATTTTGTCAGAATTATATAGTACAATTTCCTGACACTGATTAATTTACTCACTTAGCGGTGTATACTTATTGGAGTGAACATATTTTATGAAATCATTCAACACTGAAAACAATTTCTGAGTGAACTCACTCACCTATCATAGTCACATGCTTACCACACTTACCAGAGTGAACAGAGTTCATGACACCTTGACAATTCCGGATTACAGTTCAGAATTTAACACTTCCCGACCAGTTAATCCCTTACTTAAAAAACAGACAACATCAAAGGTTCAGTAGTTTGTATCAGTATCTGTAGTGTATTGGTCATAATAAGTTGATGTGCATTGATATGAGAATAGCTAATCGTGCAGTTGTGCGTGCGAGGCATCCAATACCGACAATAGAAGAGGTTCTGCATGACATGAACAACTCTACAGTGTACTCAAAGTTGGATTTAAAGTGGGGATATCAGTTGGAATTAGATGAAGAATCACGCGTCATCACAACTTTTGTGACGCATCAAGGCCTCTACCGTTATAAACAGCTTGTGTTTGGCATCTCATCAGCTCCAGAGAAATACCAATCCGTTGGACAAGTACTTAACGGATGTGTTGGTGCGAACAACATTTCAGATGATATCATTATGCATGGTAAGGATCGGGAGGAACATGATCAGCGACTCAAGCAGGTGATGAGTAAAATCAGAGACTCTGGCTTCACATTGAATCCTGACAAGTGTCAATTTCATATGTCGAAATTAACTTTCACGGGCCATGTGCTGTCGGCAAAAGGTATTGACCCCTCAACAGAGAAAGTCAAAGCTGTACAGGAGTTCAGAAAACCTGAAAATGCATCGGAGACACGAAGCTTCTTAGGTTTAGCGAATTACTGTGCTCGGTTCATACCAAACATGGCAACAGTGTCTGAACCGTTGAGAAGATTGACACACAAAGACGAGTCGTTCATTTGGAACAGTGAACATGATCAAGCATTTGAACAGCTCGAAGCAAGTCTGGCGAACACTGATACTTTGGCATATTTTGACAAAAAATGCCCCAACAAAAATCATTGAGGATGCAAGTCTGGTTGGCCTTGGTGCTGTCTTGGTACAGATTAAAAAAAATGAACCTAGACTTATTTCATATGCCAGTCGCAGTTTGACAGATGTTGAACAGAGGTATTCGCAAACGGAAAGGGAGGCGCTCGCATTGGTGTGGGCGTGCGAACGGTTCCATTTGTATTTGTACGGCATCATGTTTGATCTCGTCACAGATCACAAGCCATTGGAGGTGATTTCTTCTGCATCTTCAAAGCCGTCTGCACGAATTCAGAGATGGGTGCTCAGACTTCAACCATATGCATTCAGAGTGCAATACAAGCCAGGTAATCAGAATGTTGCTGATGTATTGTCACGACTCCACAAGGATCAAGTCACTAA